TCTGTCACACCTCAATAGCCAAGTGAGGAATGATGCTGTTGCCCAGCTACCAAGCTGCTTCTTTTACAGCTCCTTTTTTCAAGAAGCTCATCTAGGGCAAAGTAGATTATGGAAGAGAAAATAGTATACAAAACTAGCAGTATAGTCAGCTCCTTTCTTTCATACGCTCTCCTTTTCCACTTTAAACAACTAAAATCTCTCAAACCTTACATAGAGATAGTAGCCTCTGCTTTTACAAAGCAACTATCGGAAAGGAGCAATAGTTTAAGCTTTTTAAAATGAAATTAGATTCCTCAATTTGACACTTGCAGAATGCTGTTTGAAAAAAATCTGTAAGAAGATCTTGGAACTGCACAAATGTTAAAGCTCATTTGGAATTTGCATTTTAAACAATTGAAGAATAAAAAACAGACACAAAACAAAAAGCCTTCTTCCATACCGATCTATGTTCATGAAGAAATTATTTCACTTATCACTTGCCACTAAAGCAGTTAACTAAGTTCTTAACTTAGTTTTGCAAGGTAAGTTTAAATAATTTACTGTGAAAGAGACCTGTGTCAATTAGCCTAAACCTACTACTTACAAAACTGCACCAGTTTAAGTAGCTCAGCATGCAATCACACCTTTAATTAAAGCATGCAGTGGGATGCATGCCAGGTTTTCTTCTGGGGCTGTTTTCAGGGAGAGGGCCTACAAATGTGCTTTGAAAAACCACAGAGCTGTGGTATTGCCATCAACCTGGCAAGCAGTCTACTGGGTTTTTTTGTGAGTCTCATATTGCATCCTTGTCCACTGTGATCCTGATAATAACAGGAGCTGGACCAGTTCCTAAATTAAGTGAATGACCAGAAATGTTTCATTTCCCACAAAACATTATTTACATTCTGCATGTTCTCACAAAGGAAAATTAGCAGCAGAAAGACAATCTGCAAGCCAGTGAACTGAGCACAAATTAAGCTGTGCTTTTGCCATTGCTGAAGGTGTTTATTTTTCCACTATAACCCTTTGGCTTGTTTTGCTACAGCTCCTGGCTATGTGTCTCTTGGATGAGGTTGTCTCTCCTTTCTTAGGACTGTTGGTGGGGGAGAGGCTTTGCCACCTTCTTCCTGTTGTGATCTGTCAAACTTACTGGAGCAGAAAGGGGTGGCAAAGTCCCAAAATCAAAAGCACACCGCTCTATTCTGTTTGTCACACATGTGGTATCTGAAAATACAGAAAAAAATTACAGTACACATCACACACTCCCAAAACAAGCAAATGAGAGCAAAGACCAAAAAACTCTCTCAAGGCCTGAGCAAGGGTAGAATGTGTTTAGGGAAAAAAGGACATGGAAGAGAAATGCACAGAGTTAATAAAGCATCAACTGCCTTCAAAGAGCTCACACAAACATTTTTCCTCCTACTTTCTTGTCTTTATTTTTGTACATATTTTGCATTACCACTTGTTGCATATATTATGACCTGGTGAAAACACCAAGACCTACACATTAAGGTATCTTGAAGAAGTCACTAATGTCTGCTCTCCATACCCTAATGGTCCCCGAGATGTTACTTATATAAGAAAGTAGTCATGTTAAGAAAGATTCACATTCCAGAGAATCAGTCTTGCAAAGAAACAGGCAACCATGATTGCAACAGAACACTGCATAGGCACACCTATGGGTATAACATTTATATGTCTTGCTTAAGCCAGCTCTAAATAAAAAATGACATAGTATGGATAGAATTATGCATATATATGGTCAAGAGACTGTTACCATGAGCTTCCACTTGTTTTTTTTTTTATATTTTTGCTTAGCTTGGCCAAAAAAGTGAAGCTAAACAGGTATATATCAAGAAGTTACCTTAAGAAAGGGAGTCATACGACGGTGCATATGTATCTACGTGTACATATATACATATATGTATGCATAAATGAGGATGTGTGCATATATATAGGCACATGGAAAACAACAAGGTACTTGGTGACAGCTAGCATGGCTTCATCAAGGGGAAATCCTGCCTGACCAATTTGGTGGCATTCTATGATGGGGCTGCAGAACTGATGGACAGGGGTAGAGCAGTTGATGTCATCTACCTGGACTTGTGTAAAGCGTTCGACACTGTCCCACACGACATCCTTGTCTCTGAATTGGAGAGATATCAATTTGATAGATGGGCCATTCAGTAGATAAAGAACCGGCTGGATGGCTGCACGCAGAGTTGTGGTCAATGGCTCAATGTCCAGCTGGAGACCAGTAACGCGTGGTGTCCTTCAGAGATCGGTGTTGGGACCGGTCTTGCTCAACATCTTTGTTGCTGACATGGACAGTGGGATTGAGTGCGCCCTCAGCAAGTTTGCCGATGACACCAAGCTGTGTGGTTCGGTTGATACGCTGGAGGGAAGGAATGCCATCCAGAGGGACCTCGACACGCTTGTGAGGTGGGCTGATGCCAACCTCATGAAGTTTAAGCATGACAAGTGCCAGGTCCTACACCTGGGTGGGAGCAATCCCAGGCACAGCTACAGGTTGGGCAGAGAAGAGATTCAGAGCAGCCCTGCGGAGGAGGATTTGGGGTGTTGGATCAATGAGAAAATGAACATGAGCCGGCTTCAGTGTGCACTCCCAGCCCAGAAAGCCAACTGTATCCTGGGCTGCATCAAAAGGAGCATGACCAGCAAGTCAAAGGGGCTGATCCTGTCCCTCTACTCTGCTTTTGAGAGACCTTGCTTGGAGTACTGTGTGCAGTTCTGGTGTCCTCAACATAAAGAGGACATGGAACTGTTGGAACAAGTCCAGAGAAGGGCCACGAGGATGATCAGGGGACTGGAGCACCTCCCGTATGAAGACAGGCTGAGGAAGTTCGGGCTGTTCAGCCTGGAGAAGAGAAGGCTGCATGGAGACCTCATAGCAGCCTTCCAGTATCTGAAGGGGGCCTATAGGGACGCTGGAGAGGGACTCTTCATTAGGGACTGTAGTGACACGACAAGGGGTAACGTGTTAAACAGGGGAAGTTTAGATTGGATACAAGAAGTTCTTTCCTGTTAGGGTGGTGAGGCACTGGAATGGGTTGCTCAGGGAGGTTGTGAATGCTCCATCCCTGGCAGTGTTCAAGTCCAGGGTGGACAGCGCCTTGGGTGACATAGTTTAGTTGTCCCTGCCCATGGCAGGGGGGTTGAAACTAGATGATCCTAAGGTCCTTTCCAATCCTAAATATTCTATGGTTCTATGATTCTATATCAGAAAGATAATTTGGTTTAAGGCAGTATAAAAGAAAGAGCAACTATTATTGGAGGAAAAGAACGAAACTGGCAGAGATGAAAACCTAAGCAGCATATTATAAGCTGAGCATGTCAGCCAGGAGACCAGAGCAGGGCCGATATGGATGTAGTCTTAAAGGTAAAGACAGGAGTTTAATTTGTGACATGAAAAATGTACTTTGGAAGATAATAGTGAACACATTTTAAATAGTATACTTTTAAATGCCAGCTCTGTGAAGACTGAACATGGGTTTTTTGGTGCTTGCTGCCTGAAATGGATGGTAGAAAAGATGGGATAGTGGGAAAATGAAAATAAAACTATTTTAAAATGCATGTACTTTCCATGCATGTTAAGATTAAATGGCAACCTGCAGTCAGCAGGACTGCAATTTTGGTCAAGGGCTAAAGCAATCACTGTTTCATGCCAGCTCCTTCTACAGAGAACATGGGAGCCTTTGGATGCTGCTGGCTTGCCTCTTTTTAGGAAACTGTGGGGTGTGAAAGGAGGAAATCTCAGATTGATTTTGTTAAATAGATGAAATGAATGACCACATACCTTTGATCAGGTATTGGAACAGGCTGCCCAGGGACACACAGTCCCTGAAGTGTTCACAAACCATGTAGCCAAGGTCCTTAGTGACATGGTTTAGTGGTAGCCTTGGCAGTGCTGGGGGAACAGTTGGACTTCATGATCTTAAAGATCTTTTCAACCTGGTTTATTCTGTGCTATCATTCTAAGTTATGTCCGGCCTACACTAGAAGGCTACATGTGTGCAGTGATATTAAACTGCTCCTTTTCCTGAGACAATAAAATGGGGCAATTTCCTACTTAAACACCCGATCCACACTAGAAAACTGCTTCAAAACACCTAGTACTATGTCCAAAACAAAACAGTAATCAGCAATAGTGGTGCAGTGGGTGAAGCTGGCAACCTCTGAGGTACCATCATGGCTCCCTACAGGTAGCATGCCCAAAATACACACGACAGTTTTGTGATGTTTTGTAGAATCACAGAATTGACCAGGTTGGAAAAGACCTTTAAGATCAAGTCCAACCTTTACCCCAGCACTGCCAAGGTCATCACTAAACCATGCCACTAAGACCCTTGCCTACACGGTTTGTGAACACTTCCAGGGATGGTGCCTTCACCATTGCCCTGGGCAGCCTGTTCCAATGCCTGAACATCCTTTTGGAGAAAAAAAAATTCCTTTCCAACCTAAATCTCCCATGGCACAGCTTGAGAGTGTTTCCCCCTGAACTTGTTACTTGGGAGACTGACCCCCACCTCACTACAACCTTCATTCAGGCAGTTGTAGAGAGCCATAAGACCCCCTGAGCTTTCTCTTCTCCAGATTAAAGCCCCCAGTTCTCTCAGCCGTTCCTCATCTTGTGCTCCAGGCCCTTCACCATCTCCATTGCTCTTCTCTGGACCCACTCCAGCATCTCGATGTCCCTCTTGCAGTGAATGACCCAGAACCGGCTGACCTTCCCAAGGCCGGGTTAGCTTGTCCCAGGTCTCTGTCCTCCACCTCAAGACCCGGTGTGGAGGGCGCTGCTGCGTCCTCAAGGACCGGGCCGAGTCCTCACCCCTCACCCCACAGCCGACAGCAACCCCAGCGCCGCCACCCTGTGGAACAACCGCCAGAACGAGCATCGCCGGCACCCCCGACCACCACCTCCACCGCCGCCGTGGAACCTCCCCTCAGTGACGCCACGCGCCCGCCCCTTCCCTAGCCTTTATAAGGAGGCCACGCCCTGCCGGGCTAGTGCGCGGTACGCGGCTGCGCGCAGACGGTCCGGTAGCCCCGGGATGGGCAGTGAGCGCGGTAGTGGCGGCGGTAGAAGTTGAGGGGCTCGTTAAAGATGGCGGAGCTGCGGGAGGGGGTGAAGTACACCATGTCCCGCGAGCAGAGGGCTCCCCGTATCTCGGTGCTGCCCATCAGAATGACCGAATCCGCAATGCGAGCGCTGGAGGAGTACCGGAGCGGCAAGGTGAGGGGGTGTGTGCTTGGATGGTTTGCACCACGGAGAGGGGTGTCGCTTCGGTGTTTCGAGGTGTGCATCCCCTGTCCTCCGAGGTCCTTCTCGCAGGACCTGCGGTGGTGCATGGGCAGGTGTTGTGCTCCCTTCTCTGGGCAGCGTTCGCTCGGTCCCCGCTCCTGCTCCGTGGGGCTCCCCGGGGCGCAGCACCCCGGGGGACGGGTCCAAGGCGCTCGGTATAAGGCAGCGGGTGTTGCACTTTCCGCGGCACTTGACGAACTTCCAGCCCCACTCTCCCGCGCCTCCCGGCCAAAACTAAGGACTCCATCGTCGTGCAGTCCTTGGTGCAAGGGCCGCTGCGCTGTCACAGCAGGTTGGTCGCACCTCTCCTGGTCTGCCGCAAGCTCGAAGCCCGCGCCGCTTCCAAAAGTGACTCAGGTACTTGGTAGTTGCAGTCGCCGCCGCTTTCCTTGGTGCCGGCATGCCCCCCACTCACCGAAAGCTTTTAATTGAGGACGGGCGAGTTCCGTGCTCCGGAAAGGGGCTGCGTGTACCTGGCGACGGGCGCTGAGCGCCTCTTCTTGGGTGTTTAGGCACTCTGATGGGGAGAGGTGAATCCCGGGGGTCGCGTACACATTATAGGTGTCGCAGTTTGACACCGGGCGATTTTGTATGTTCAAGCACGCTGACTATAAGAAAAAAAAAAAAAGAAACTGCTTTCCTCACGACAGGTAGATAAGCTTGGAAGATGTTTATTTCTGATTTATGAAAACAAAATTACTTTCCTTTGGTTTTTTTTTTTCTTTATCTAAACAAGGATGAATTTCTCACTTAAATGTAATTTTCCATGAAAAAAGCATAATGCAATGCCCAGTTATCTGGAAATTGCAAACTGGCTAACAAGCTATTTGTGGTCATTCTGATCAAGAAATTAATTGAGATTCTTTTCCCTATTTCACTATTTTTTCTTCTCCTGAACTGTAAATGAGTCTCTCCACTCTTCCTGCCAGGCCTGCTTTCCCTCACCTACTCACAATGGAGTTTGAATGTGCCATGTGGAAGAATGTGGCAAAGTGGAAGAATAATAGAACACAAAAACTTGGAGCTTTGTTATTTTAGCTTCCAGAATTTCTGGGTTTAGAAAGAACCATCTTTAAAACTGTTTATCCAAATCATGCATTTCTGACTTTTGCACTGGCAGAAAATCCTTCTGTGGCACTGCTCGGGAAGTGATCGCAGAGTTATCTTGTGCAGATGCTTTGTGGTTTGTTTTATTAGTATTTGACAAGAATATCCATATCAGGAGGAAGAATCAGGGAGGGAGAGGAAACTGTCTTTGTTGTCTCAATTTTAAATAGGTCTCGTTGTGATGTGCTAGCTCACACATCTGCTTGGTGCGAGAGGAGGACAGGATTGATGGTCTGTAGCTGGTGGTACCTTCCTTCTGTCTAGCTTAATGCTCAGCTACATTGCTGGCCCATTTCAGTTCTGACTGTGCAACTGAAAAATTTGCAATGAAGGGTAAAAATCAGCCTTGCTGAAAACTGAGGAATGTGATAAAGGGAATACGTGGAAGGTAGCAGACAGCTCTACTGCTGCCTCTGTCCTGGGCTGGAAGATCTTATTTGTATAATGCTGGTAATATCAAAAAAAGTTGTAGAGGGGAGAAATCAGGATAACCCTCCTATGACCTACTTATCACCATCACCTGTAGAATCTGGGCAGCTAGTAATCAGTTTCTGCATACTTAATTGCTTAATGTTCAAATTGAAACAGTCTGCATAAAGAATGAAGCACTCCTTGTTACTGCTGCTCAGGATTTTCTTAGCTGCCATGACAGTTAAAGTTTGAAACACTCTTGAATTCTTACATGAAAAACATTAGCTTCACCTCCTTCTTTACAAATACAGAATAGAGGTTGTATCTCTTGGGCAGGCCTGATCTCTGCAGCATTCCGTAGGTGAGGAGAAATTCTGATGCCATCCTTGCTTTATGCACTCCATCGTCTGGCCTGGGGCTGACTGGTTTCAGGGGATGGAGAGCATTCTTGCCTAGACTTCCTTTGACTGTATTGAGCAGCATGCTTAAAGATCCTTGCATATCATCTGTGGCAGTATTAATTTAAAGCATAGCTAATCTTTTTGTATTCTGTGTAGCAGGGAGCAATACTTTGGCTTTAGTTTGGTTAAGTGCTGTGTGTTGCCCTGGAGGATAGCGTTGCAGCCACACTTCTGGAGAGAACTGAGGGAAGTGTGGGATGGCTTGCCCTGGTTCAGTGTCTGTGTCCTGCAGGAAGGATGTCCTGTGGTCCTGCACTAAAAGCAAGGCCAAGCAGCCCCTGCCCACCTTAGGAATGGGTAAGTGCTGGAGGGAATGGGTAAAGAAAGGAGCCAGACTTAACTCTTTCAGGCACCATGGACTGTTAAGCTGTTGATGGCCATGCAACAAGAATACAGCTTTATTTTCCAGTTCAGCTAAGGAGTTCTACTTGTCAGCTTCCTTAGGAAGGGCAGTCCCATTTTCTGCCAGAACGCCACCTCTTTCCCTCTTCCAAGGGGGATCCTGTCTGGTCCCAGAGCTGCAATATCAGTACTGTGGATCCAGGAGATGGGGTGCACAGATGGAGATGTGCCAGGGAGGCCCATTCTGTGCTGCATGTGCATGCTGCTTCTGCTTATGTTGTTCCAGTGCTGTCAGTCTGGTTTTGGTGGTTGAGTGCTTCCTTTGGCAGGATCCCTTTGTAGGCTGCCACTGCTGTATGCTGGTCATGGGTACAGTGAAGGGAACCAGGAGCTACAGGTAAGCTTATTGAGTGCCAAAAAGTCTCAGTGAAAATCTTAACTTTGTTTTTTTCACATCTGACACCCAAAACTACCAGGTAATACAGATTGTTATCATCTCTTACTGCTTGTAAAATGGTATTTAAGCCTGCTCATGATGAATAGGATAAATGAACTGGTTTTTGTGAGGTGCTGCTAAGGTCTTTTCAATGTTTTGGGTTTTCCTGCTTACTGAATACTGTGTGGGAGGCATTGCATATTTAAAAAAAGAAAAAAGCCACACACCAAAAATTAAAACAACCAACAAAACACTAACTCCAAAACTCAAAAAATCAGAATGGAAACACCAAAGGAGGCTAAGTTCCTGTTGCATCTCCATATCCATGAAATGGCTCTGCTACCCAGAGCATGGGGTTTTTTTTTATGTATTACATGTTGGGAAGTCAGAGTTGGCTATCAGAACTTAGTAAGTGCAGCTTGGCTGGTTGCTTTGGTACCTCACTGTCTTTCCAGCCAGTGAGAAGCATGATGTGATGGATGCACTCGCTGGAGTGTGTATGTAAGGAGGGTTCCTCCATGGAAGCGGTACTATTCTTTGTAGTAATTTAATGGATTTTGTCAGTGCAGGTAGTCTTTCCATCCAAACGCTTTTTAGTTCTCCTTGCGAGACCTCTATAATAAATTGTGTGGATACTTGGGATTCTCTGAATTGACTAATAACATTTTTTGGCTCACTGATTGGCTGAAGCCCTGAAAAGGAAGAGAAGGTGCTTATAGGAAGATGAGGGAGAGTGGGGAAATCCTTAGGATGGCATTCCCAGGGAGTTCCAGTATCTTCTTCTAGCCTCCTCCTGCATAATACATAGCTGTTTAAAAATTATCAAAGCACATGAAGAATTTTATAATACATCATAATCTTTAATGTGCTGATATGAAGGCATCTTCTGCTTCTCTGAGTCACCATGGCTGAAAAACAGTAAGTAGCTTCGTGTACAGGGGTGTTGACGTGTAAGTATGTGAGTTGTTTGCAGTGTGCCATGTGTGTGCACAGAGACTTAAGCAAAACAGTGGACCTGGAGAAGCTCTTGAGTTTTTGGCCCCTGAATTAAGGAGAGATATACGACCTGACTGTCACACCTCTAGCTAATATTTTTAAGCAGGCCTGTGTAGGAGAACTTATTCCTTATCTAAATAGAGAGCAGTTACGTAAGGGTGATGGAGAGAGTCACTGGTGTTCTGCAAAGCTCTTGGGTGCTCTGTCAACCCACGTTTTGAGTCACCTGTACAATCCTAGTTTGTGAGAGATGCAAGGAAAGACAGCTGTCCTTATCTTGCTCTCTTCAGCTGTAGCAGGAGAGACCATGAAGGCTGAGGTATGAAAGATATGGTACTGTGGCTCGGGGAATTGTAGGTAAGGTGATGGTAGAAAATGATATTGCCCACATCTTCAGCACTGGAGCAAGAGGGCAGCTGATGGAGCTGGTAGAAAAAAGTGAAGTAAGTGAGTCTGTTCACCTTTTGAATGGTGGACTTGTGCACCTTGCCATCATAGGAGGCTGGGAGTGGGCAGTATCAGAAGGTCTGAACAGGGACTCAACTAATTAGTGGACAGCAAGTGTATAAATGGATGCAGTACAGGGCTAATGAGGGTTGCAGCCTCTAAAACACCTAATGAGGGCAGATGGTGAGGAAGTATGAGGGGAATGAGCATGGGAAAGTGGTGGGACTTCTGGTCTCTGGCTTCTCCAAAGCTTCATACTCTTTGCTGTGAGAAAAGAAATGCAGAAAACCTGGGTGATCTTGGGATCAGAGGGAATGGGGGTTTGGAGTAGCGCTTCCTGCATCTGTGCTGAAACCTGAGATCCACCTCCTCAGGTCCACAACTTGTGGTGGTTGTCAGCTTGTCAGACACAGAGGTGACAAAAGGTTTGGCTGCCCCTCTCCGTGCCACAGCAGCCTGCTGCTCCAGGCCATTTCTCAGCACATAGGTGGGACCTTTCTGCTTGATGCCCTGCTAAATTCAGATTATTTTTAATGGCATTTTTTCTCACTGAAGCAGGGGAGGTGGCTGGTTACACCAGCACAGTTGCTCCAGCTCAAAACCCAGTTTGTGTCAAATTCTGTGAGTCACTGCTTCGGTGATGGCTGCTGCGTGGTCCTATGCTTATCATTGCATTGCGGGTCTGGCTCAGTGTTTTGTGAATTGCCTTCATAGGTTAAACTTCATTCTGGAAAATGTCAGACAAGGGTTAGGATTCACACCTGTTAGCCAGACTTTGTGTAACACTAATTTTTAAAATTAGCTTACTTGGGATGTGCTGATTAAGCAGACAGGTACATTAGTAGTCTCAAACTCATCTCGTTTCTAAAACTTTCTGCCTGTAAGTTGGAAGGTTTGTGGAGACAAAGTTTTCAGCAGGCCATTTCAGTGTTTAAGGTTGTACTTATTGTTGGCTGCTGTGTATCTTGAGAAAATGTATAAGCCTCCAATTGTGGAAAAACAAGCATAGTCATTTCTAAAGACCCTACTGCCAATGCATGTGGGAGCTCCAGCCCTCCAGTGGTATTACTTCTTCCTGAGCCCCTCTCCAGGGTTTTGTGGCACTAGGTGATGCTCTTAGGCAGTGTTGAGACTTGGCTTAGTCGTACATTCCAGCACTCGCTGGTACCTATATAAGCAGCACCAGCTCATTGCCAAGATCAGTGTGGTGGAGAGTTTCCTGCTGGGTGAGTGAGACAGATTTTATTGCAAAAGGGTGAGAGAAGTGCAAGTGAAGGAGGAGGAATCTGGCTGGAAGGAAGAGAGGGCAGGGTTGCATCTAAATCGACTTCCCAATCCTGCGTGCTTCTGAATGGCACCTAAACTCCAAATCCATAAACACTTGCTTTTGCTGGAATAAAGTCTTTATTCATTAGGATTTCATCCTTTGGTGCAACTTGTTTAGGTTAAGTGTTTGCAGTGGGCTGGCAAACTCCCTGCAACATGTTATGGACAAAGCCTAGCAAATTGAGCTTGTCAGCATAGCTGACCATGGTTTTGTGTCCAGCAGCATAATTTCAGGATTCAGTAGTGCTGAGCAAAGTAGCATTGCTGCTAGAATGGGATATTCTTATCAGCAGGCTCCTGCTGGCACTGGTTGCTGTTTGGGCTGTGTTGAGGAGTAGACCTGACCAGAAGCCAGCTTGTGACAGAGAAAAGACATTTCCAACTAGCAAGCTCCTTGATTGTTTTTTTTTTTGTTTTTCCTTTAACATTTGCACATCTTCACAGACTATGGTGTCAGCACAGCAGTAGTAAAGAACTCTTCCATCCTTGCAGGTCAGGTGCAGGCTGAGAGACTTCATAGTGACAAGGTGCAAATGTCTCTTATTATTTTTGGCCATGTTGTGTATTTCGCTTGGCAGATAGGTACTGAAGAAGTGAGGATTGTTTGAGGGAGCTCAGGATTTTTTGGGAGCCAGTTTGATTTTTGACTTTAAGACACATGCTTGTTGAGGTTAATTAATGAATTAAGAGTGTGAGGGAGAAGAGGCTACTCCTTGCCTTCCTGAGGACAGCTGGGCTGATTGCACTGCTGGGAGACGGTAGGATGCTTGGTTTCTAGTGTTGCAAGTGCTCCTTGGCGTTACTGGTCCACACCTGGGGATCTAAGCAAAGAGCAGGTAATCTTGACAGTGGGAAGTGACAGGGCCCTGTGTGTTGTCTTGACGAGGAAAGCTGTTGTTGTCAAGACCCTTTGAGTAGACAGGTTGCTTGTGTTCATCACGTAATCTAAGCTGATACCTAGAACTCAAGTACATGTGAAAATGTGTCATTGAATAGTCTCGTCCGAAACGAAGCCATCTCAGTCCATAAGCAACTGGGTCAGTAGGGCAGGGTTTGAGAGTGGGAAAGCACATAATTTTGGACTCCCACATTAGTGGTACTTCAGGCAGAGAAGGGATTGGTTTTCCCTTCAGTGCCAGCAGATACCACTGTACAGCGTTTTCTAGGCTCCCTGTGGTACCCTGATGGTGATAAAGTATCAGCTCTTGTGCTCCTTGGCGCCATATGGGGGAAGCCCTGCATGCTGCAAGGAGCCTGGAGCCACTGCTGGAGCCCTGGCCCCTGGGATCTGCATCATGGTAGGAGCATGAGGAGTTTGCTGTGGGCGCATCCACCTTCTCTCTCTGCAGACAAAGAACCCTCTGCGGGAGTGTGGAGTTTTGTCAGTTTACTTACATTCTACTTACTTTTCTTCTCGTAGGATTGTGTTTCTTCTCAGCCTTCAATTCAGTTTCAAGGATCCCAAGGGGTAAGTATTTTGTACTGATATTGGAAAATAGATGCAGTGTAGTTTAACCACTTTTGCTTTTTTTAAATACTCTATATTTGTAAAATCTGCTTAGTGCCAGATGTTTCGCATTGTATATTTTCTTAGTAATTATTAATTCAGTGTAGTTGAAAGTGAATCATGCTTTAGATATGCTTCTTTTTTATCTTGCTTTTCTCACTTTTTAGCCTAAATCTGAAAGCAATGGGAATACCTTATAAGTCGTCAACTAAGCAGGGCAAATTTAATATTTTAAAATGGACTTTCAGTGGTTGGTTTCAAGGTGTAAAGCAGAATGGCAGTGCTGAGGGGTAGGGGTTTGTATACCACAGACTACTGATTGTTCTTGACCCTGTCCTGAAACTCTGACAGTATTTCAAGCCTGTTGAAAAGTTGAAAGAAAACATGAGGAAATGAGGCCTCCTAAAGGCCATAGGTCCTGTTAAACAATCAGTTTTGCAATGATGCAAATTGGAGAACTAAGGCTGAAGGTAAAATTAAATACAGACTGCTTTCCAAGTAGAATGATTTAAGATTTTGGGTTTAATATTTGAATTTTAAGGGATGGTCAAAGACTCATTTTTAAAGACTGCCCACAGATGTGAAACTACAGCCCTAGTCCAGCTCAGTCTGGCTGAAGGGTACTCAGATGTTGGGAGAATCGTGTCTATAACAAACCTACTTCTACAGACAAAAGTCTCTTAACATTGCACTTGTAAGATCCTTTCCCATTGTAGATTATTTGCAATTTAAACTATACTGTCAAATATTTATACTAGTAAAAGAATTTCTTTGCTAGAGTGGATAATCATCAGCCAAAATAGCAGTACCAGGAGAGAGTGGATGGGAACACAGATCTATCTGAATTCATGCTGCCATCAAGAGGAAAGTTGTGTTGTTGTTTGTTAATTTGGCTGGGAAGTGGAATGGACTGTCCAGATCCATTGATCAGCTTCCTGACCCGCTGTTTATGGCAGCAGGTGCCTGAGGGCTGCAAGGGATGGAGCAAGAGATGAATTCAAAATAAGCTCTCAGAGTAGAAATAATGAATCTATCTGGTAACATGATGTCCTGCAAGTGAAGGAAAAATTACCAGTATGCTTTATCTGCCCTGTACCCACTCATTCTGTGCAAAAGTTCATGTGCTGCTTTCTTCCATGTTCTCTGGTATCAGCTTCAAGGCAGTAGTACGTGAAGTTTGAGATGTTACTAGGCTGGGGGAGGCTTTATTTCTCAGCTGTAAAAAATCTGGGGCTTTTATGAAAAAGTGTCAAAATCTTGGGGCCACAAGAGTGCTGAGGAGCCAGCTGTTAACTTTCAGTGTTGTCACCCCTCTTTCCACTAAAAAGTTAATCCAGGTCTGTGCTTTTTCATCATGTAACTCAGCAGTAAGGTTTGCTCCCTTGCTCTTTAAGATGGAAACATCTACAGGGACCTTGCTGCTTGCTGCAGAAGTAATAAGCTCGCATAGAATCATAGAATAGTTAGGGTTGGAAAGGACCTTAAGATCATCTAGTTCCAACCCCTCTGCCTTGGGCAGGGATAGTTCACGCTAGACCAAAAGTACATTTCAAATCTATCCATATTTAAATAAAAGCAAACTAAGCAACTTATTGCAGAAATTTCCTAGAGCCTAAGTCTCAGCAATAAGGAGAGAAATTTAAGGATATTAGGGCAGATGATAAGTTAAAACAGGACATTTACTACTGTACATACTGCAGGAGGGAAATGTTTAGGTCATTATCTCTGTATTGTGCAGCCTTACATAGTACTTAGTATTTCCAGAGTACACCAGTTGCATGACAGAGGGCTGGCCTGGCCCTTTGAAAGGTCTGCCTTCCTCCTCTGGACTGGTTTCCAGTTGCAGGTTTACAGAGTGAAGAGTGTTCAAGATGCATTCTTGCCAAGGTGTTGCAGGTCACCTATAATGGCAGAGAATTTCCTTAAATGCTGCTAGAAACAGGCAGTGACTTTTGTCTCTCAAAAGTTTTTCCTCTGCAATTCATGCAACTGTCTTAACTTCCAGATGAGGATAAAATACTAATATTAAAAACAAAGTTGTTCTTTTTTTTTACTGTTTAGTATTCCATATTCCATCTCTAGTTACACATACTCTACTCCCAGTCCTCTGTGGATGATCGTAAAGGCTGGAGTGGAGAAGTACAGGTGCCTTCTGCCTTGGAGTGATCTAAAGTTGTGTTACATGTGGGAATTGAGGAAAGGAGGCTTACGCAAGAAGCTACAAGGGAGAAGCTTTTATTTCATGTATATGTTCAACAAGAAGCCAGTATTCATGCCAGATGGGTTCTGCAGTCATGTTGCAAAAAAAAAAAAAAAAAAAAAAAAAAAAAAAAAAAACCCCACTAGCAAGCTTAATTTTTTTGTGTTGCATGGTAGAGTTGCTCTGAAGGAATCTGGAGCTTGATGGAAGTATATAGATGGCCTCTGAAGGCACAACAGCAAATCTGCTAATGCAGTAAGATGGTTTGCATTCTTTAGGATAGTAAATCATTTGTCCGTACTGCATAGATAGCCTCTAGATGCAGTTCAGCTGAAGAACCACTGAAACTGTCCTGGAACAGTTTGCACAAAACATAGGTAAGAACCCTGTGATTTCTGAATTAATAAAATAGCTGCTGACTGTTAAAATACTTTCACACGAGATCACAGGGTGGTCTTTGGGAAGGAAAACTTTTCTTATGTTTGGAAATATCTCACTCCCAGTCTGGATGGTAATGTCTGCTGCTGGCTGAAATACCTGAAGGACACAGAGGGACTGCAAGAAATGGGTTATTACATCATAATTTTTAAGAAATACCTTGTAATTAAAAGTTTTGGAGTACATACACCTAAGCTGCCTGGAGGATGTAGCAGCCATGCTGTGCTAGATAAAATAGCCCTGAGGAATGTGAATATTGGCAATTAACTTTTAATGCAGTAGGGATACATTTAAATATATAAAAAATAAAGTTTGTTTATAGTCCAGTGTACTTCTGTAGTGATAATGTTTCAGACAACTGCTGTTTCCATGATGTGGCTTCTCTCCTTTATTTTTAACTTTCTCTGTTATGTCCTGCAACTTCCAACTAAATTTATTAGACATAATTTACGAGGCATATGCTATACCTGTAGCTGGTGATGTCCTTGATCTCCTGCCATGATGCACATCCCTAAATTGGAGGGTTCTGCAAATATTTATTTTTACCTCCTTTAACCCCATATAGAGGCTTACAGTGTGAAGTGGGTGCTGGTGTGGGTATGGTTTGTGAGCTACCGTATCTTACCCTTAAAAGGTGAGGTGGTAAGGTTGAAATGATTCTGAGAAAAGACAAGAGAAAGACTGAGAGGGAGGGAGTACTTGAACATGTATGCTGAACAGAGGCACCTGAAAATACAGTGCTCATGTCAACCTGATAAGATGATGCTATACTATAGAAGAACAAGAAGAGAGAGTAGGTAGATATGTTTAGAAAGGAATTAGGTGACTCAACTGTGTTCTTGAGACCTGACTTGGAGCCCTGTGTGCGGTTCTGGTGTCCTCAACGTAAGGACATGGAGCTGCTGGAGCAAATTCCATAGGAGGCCACTAGGGGGCTGGAGCACCTCCCATGCAAAGGCAGACTGAGAAAGCTGGGGCTGTTCAGCCCGGAGAAGAGAAGGCTGTGTGGACAGGTCATAGCAGCCTTCCAGTATCTGAAGGGGGCCTACAAGGATGCTGGAGAGGGACTCTTCATTAGGGACTGTGGTGATAGGAGAAGGGGTGGTGGGTTCAAATTTAAACAGGGGAAGTTCAGATTAGGTATAAGGAAGAAGTTCTTTACTGTGAGGGTGGTGAGGCACTGGAACAGGTTGCCCAAAGAAGTGGTAAATGCCGCATCCCTGGCAGTGTTCAAGGGCAGGTTGGATGGGACCTTGGGCAGCAAGGTTTATTGTGAAGTGTCCCTGCCTGTGGCAAAGGGTTGGAACTGTATGATCTTAAGGTTCTTTCCAACCTGAACCATTCTGTGATTGTATCACTCAGTCTTGGAAAGCAAAATACATCTGGCCTGAATTGAGGATACTGTAACAGCATACAGTACAAGCAGGAATGATGGAAAAGAGAAGGACAGAAGTACAAAAAGCTAAGAGCCGCAGAAACTGGAGTGATTCTGGACAGGAGGTTTTGGAGAAAATGATTAAAACTGCTCCTACATTAGAGAGTCAAATGAGGATGGTATGTCAGAGTAAGATAGGGTAATATGATAGATCCAGAAATCAATTATTAAGAGGAAGGGATTAAAGTCAAGAGTCTGAATTGTTCTAGTGGTTATTCTCTATTACTGAATCCATTAGATGGTAAGAAATTGCAACCAGTTTGAGTACATAGAATTTAAACTAGCATTTTAGAGTAGACAGCAGAGGGTCAAGTTGCTCGATATTTGTTCTGAAGTGTTCCCGCCTGGCCAGATGTGACACTGGGGGCCATTTAGGGCACAACATGCCACTCTCCATGCACATCAAATTGATAATGCTGAAGGGTCTGCAGCATTGAGTTTTGCCAGGAAAACTTCCCTGTCATGGGGTGAAAGGCATAAGGCAGGAATGGGGTACCTCTGTGTGTCACAAACAATGCTTTTGGTGATGCCCACTTCTGCCTTGTTTTCCCCAGGTTGTACAGACGCTTGATTGGAGCTTACCAGAGTTCATCTGTGTTTAAGTCTTGATTTCTTTTTTTTTTTTTTTTTTTTTGGTGTGTGTGTGAGTCAGTTAAAAGGACACCATTCTGTGATTCTGAAATAGGCTTGGTAGCATACTGTCCTGTGTCACTTATTTTCATTTGTGAAGGTTTAGAAGTGCTTCTCTGCATTCTTTTGTTTCCAAACAGCTTGATGTAAGAAGACTTTACCATTTTGTCCTGAAGTCTCAAATTTCAAACTCATAAAAACTTTGAGACTTAACCTCTACAGAATGTTTGTTCTTTCACTTTTTGTTTCATGTATCCTATGCTTTTTTTTTTTTTTTAATTAAAGAGAATGCCACACCAACTTACTCCTTACTCCTGACTGGCTGGGTTTAGACCACGACACTTTCTTACAGGATTTCCTTTAGAAAAGGCCTGAGCAATGGTCTTCTAGTTCTTACAAAGTTTGAGCAAAATATATCATAAAAATTTGAGAATGAAAGTAAATTTCTAAACCCTTTCTTTGCTTCTGCAAAGACAGCTGTCACAGTGGTGGTAGTAGATGGCTCCCTCATCATCTTCAGCCTCTGTGTGTGAGGGAATCTTTAAAACATTCAGTGTTTCCATTTGAGTTTGCTCCTGGGAGGTCATTGTTGGTGATAAGCTTCATAGGCATCTGCCGGTAAGGAGGCAAACTTGTTTTTCTCATACTTTATCAATGTCTTTTTCAATATCTGGGAGAAGTAGGACCTCACTGATGACAGTGGAACAGCAACAAACATGTTTTTAAATGTGCTTCAAGGCTGCTTCTGCCTTCATGTTATTGCATCAAAACACACTGAGGCACTCTGAGGTTTAATACCCACAGCAACCTTCCAGAATTTGAGATATGAATATGAGGGTACAGAAATGCCTGATGTATATGCACTATGTTTCTGTGCATGCCATTCTTCAGGCTGATCAGTGAAAAATAAAGTTTTACTCAAAATAAGCTGTGAGAATGAGTCCCAGCATGCATAGCAACACTTACCTGCTTCTTCTGTTCAGCTGTATTTCTTGAGGGGCAGCCTTGGCTTGATCATAGTAGATAGCTGTTTTTCCAGAAAGTGTATCAGGCTAAAAGACACTACCTCTGCTACAGTGGGTTGATTTCAAATTGTCAAATTCATGCATACATACCTGCAGTGTTTATAGTAAAACCACTATACTGAAACATTCAATCAGTGGTAGTAAATTTTGTAGAAAGTAGATCAATTTTAGCATCATTTAGGCCCGGGTGGTCATCTCAGGTTTATAGTTGCTCTGTAGTAACTTTCATAATCATTAAAAGGTAAAGCTGCACATGAAATCCGAGATTGTGCGTTTGGTAACTCTCCCAGTTTATTTCCATTCTTATATAAAATGCATGTATTGAACTTTTAAGAATACTAGTACTTCAAGCTTAAGTAAGAGAATATGGTGTTCAGGTGACTTGCCTTTCTCTTTCACGTCCAGTCACTGTCCCAAGCTGTTACAAGCTCTGCCAGTACTAATGATTAAAATATAAATGGTAATGGAATTGTGTTGTAGTAGGGCATTGTGCAAATTACATTGAAGTTTATAAAACCAGTCTCACAAGCAAAATATTGAAAGATTTCTAAAAGTCTGTTAAATACTGCTTTTTTATATCTTTGTCCATCTTATTTAATATTCCATTAAAAAAATCAAGCAGATTTCAGGAGAATAGCTTTTTTTTTTAGATTTATTGCCAGCTAGTTTTACCTTTAGAACGAAGTAGTTGGATGGCAGTAGGCTTTTTGTGCTTCAGTATTGTTTTATATGGCAGCAGATTAAAAAATGGGCTTATGCCAATTATCAGTTTAATGCTTCCTCGTACTTACATTTTTAACTTCCAGCAGAATGCAGCAAATTCTATACTAAGTCATTAGTTCAGCCAGGGAAATCCAATGTTACTACATCTGATTAAGCTTACAAAAATATTTATATTTTACATTTATGTAAACAATTTCATCTAGAGGTAAGTAGAAGAAAAATTTTAACTCCTCTTGAAATTCATCCTTTATACTTTTAAGTAGTTTTACTCTTGTAATTTGGGTGTTGCTGGAGCTTTTTTCCCTTCTTGGAGCTAATTCCCATATCTGCTTCATTGGGACCAAATAAACCACAAAGCTGGGGCAGTGTTTGATATGGTCTGTGAATTGCACTCATCTGTTCTGCCAGCTGAGCTTCGGTCCATTTAATTGTACTTGGGTGCATGTGTTTAAAGTTAAGCATGTGTGTATTAATTCCACTAAATGGGAAAGGATGGCTTGCTACTTGGGCACTTTGCTGAGTTAAGAGGCTGATCAATGGCAGTTTTTTGCAGTGCAGTTACTGCTGTGACAGACACATAACTAGTGCTGCTTCCAGAGGGAGAATTGTGCCAAAGCAGCCTTTTTAGGGATGTGATTGAAATCATAAGAAAACTTTTGAATCACAGTTTGTCATTTAAAATTATGGTCCTAATTAATCGCAAGTAAAAAAGTGTAGACTAAAGTTTTTACATAAACTTTTTTTTTCCTTTTAGCTTATTAAAATTCCCAAAGTTGATCAGTCAAATGAAATGAATACATTTAACTTCGTAGTGTCAAATATTGGCAAAGATAACTCTCAGGGAAGCTTTGACCTGTTCCAGCAAAAGGCCTCAGGGTAAGTTTTGCTTAATGTTTTCTTTCATTGCAAATTTAAGTAGATTCTGTGGCTTTGAACATACAGAGAAAACCTTTAACAGAAGCACTCTCTGCTTATGGGCTGCAGTAGAAAATTAATTCCTAGCAATAGCATGATTTCTTACTAATTATAAATACTTGCTTTTACATAGAATTCTTTTTGGTTTTGCTCTTTGAAAAGTAACTTTCTAACCTCCTGGTGCTGTTTTTGAAAGCATTTTGAGCTCAGCATCATCCAGGCTAGACCAGAGCCATTCTACAACCATATATAAATATGATTATGGCTGGCAGCATGCTAGCATGCTGGCCATGATGGATGGTTGTCTTATTTTAAGAACCACATCAGTTAGTGGCCTTACCCATAACTGTATGACCATGGTGTTTCAGAACCCAAATGTAATACAGCAGTGCCTTGTCCTGGTGCCTTGAGTCAAATTGAACAGTGTTAACATCTATTAAAAAGACAAGAAAATACTATTTGCCTCAGCTTCTAGAATACTATGTTTAGTAACAGTGGCACTGAATAACTGTTCAATTTGATTGATTAGCACATTGCAGGGAGAGTTCATGTATCGATTTGCAAAGCGGATAAAAAGCAGGCAGACCAGCACAGGTCTCCAAAATGTGCTGCTCAGGTTCTTGGTCACAGGAGAGCTTCTAGCCTCAATTTCAAAGCTGAGATTTGTATAGATAGCAGGCTTTAGGAGCAATAAAAAAAAAAAATGAGCTGATTTAATAAGCTCTTTGCCTCACAGGAGATCTCTCAGCATCCTCATCCTCGTTGTTTTTCCCCTTGCTTTAGGTCTTTTCTACTGCAGTACAGTCTTTCAATGAGCTCACTTAGATGATGGGATTGGCAAAAAGCCAGATGGTTTAGTGGCAGACTTGGGAGAGCTTGGGCAGTGTGGTTTTTTTCGGGATTTTCTTTTGGGTTTTCACTGTATCTGAAAGGAGCCAGACAGCTGCCAAGGCAGCTGGTAGAAGTGCATGTCAGGCATGAGAGGTCCTGCACACTCTCCCAAGCATCTCTGAGGGCACCTGCTTCTTTGGGAAGGAGTACCTTCAGTTAAATTAAATTGTATTTTTTAAGATTAAATTTGAGCTGCTTTAGCTCTGAATAATTCTGAATAACATGTCTAGGTAGTTTTGTGGTTTGTCAAATGTTTCTTTTACTCTGGTAGTTTGTGGTAGTCAAATGTGGTTTGACTACAAGGTCCTTTGTAGCCAGCTCTCAGTTTGTGCGAAGTGACTGCAATGTTAAGGCAAAACTTGAGTAGTGTTACATGCAGAGTCAGATTGTGTTTGGTTTTGGTTTTTTTAAGAAAAGATAAAACCAGAAACATCTTCTGCAGGGTGTCTAGTCTAATTTTGTGCTCGGGGCAGCTCTGCCTTCAACACTGGCTTGGAGGAGGATTGCACAGGCCGAGGAGGAGGATTGCATGTCACAGTCCATGCTCAGCAATTCAGGTTGTGAAAAAGATTGTGAAGTCAGGGATGTTCAGGGAAGAGGGCAATGGCTAAAAGCTGTGCTTTCCACGGCAAGAAGGATCTTTCTGATTGTTGTTTGTGTGGTGATTTCAGAGCAAGGAATACATAGCTCTAGGCTATGGACAAAATTGTAGCTGAAATACTGGCCATTGGCTTAGTCCAGCTTTGTGACTTTCAGAAATTACGTAAGTTGAGAAATGAGATTCTTGACCCTTCTTGAAGCCTTGGTGGGGAATTTAGGGTGGTTGAAGTGTTTCAGGTTAGCTAAAGCTTGTGTCCTTTTCTTAGTCAGAGCTGTTCAGTGGTGGGTGCCACACAGCATCCTTGTTACGAGCAATGGTAGTTAGGCCAGTTTAAAGAGAGCTCTGAGTGTGCACTTGGACTGATCATGGTGGTCCGTGCTCCTCCAGAAGCTCCTCCTGGAGCCTAGCACCTGCCCTGAAGCTGTCGAGGAGACATTGCCATCCTTTGCCTCATACAGGGTTTGCTGTCAGTGCCTCTTCTCAAATGTGAGTCCTCAGAGGAGCACAAGCACACTTAAGCACTGGAGTGACTCCCTGAGCTGTCCCCACCATTGTCATGGCAGCCATTACCAGCACAGCCCTGAGTCTGCCCAAGTACACTTACATGAGGAGGTTGTGATTACGCTGACAAACAATTTGGGTGTGTAGAGACAATTCGAAATGTATTTACACCCTAGCTACCTGTCAGAACTAGAAAATGTTTTTCTTCACCTGTTAAGGCAGGTTTTGAAGTTCCTGATGCAACCACACTTCTAAATCTGAGCTAGTGCTTGGGCTAAACCTTTTTCAATGTGTTTGTAGTTCTGGACTCTCCCAACTCAGTTGCCTGGGAAGTATACAGAATAAAATTACAGTATGTGCAACAAGTGATTCCCATGTGAAGACCAGAGAGCGCATGGCCCAGGTGGAAGCGGAGGCACGCAGTCGAAGTGCAAAGTTTATTAAACCCGGTGGACCATTTTTAGGTATGGTTGTATTTCATTTTTTACTAGTTTATCTGTAAGTTTTCAAACTCAGTAATTCATCTTTTCAGTGTATCCTTGGGAAAGGTGGTTTGTTTAGAGATCTCAAGTGTAGGTAACTTGCCCTCATGTTGCAGTGTCCTAGTGCTGTGTTTAGACATTGGCCTTTATTTTCCCTCGGAAAGCCTGCCAGGCCTTCCTTGCCCCCATATTTCTTGTCTGGTTGAAATTTTGACTACTGACGTGAGGGGTTTTCACTATCCAATGCACTTAAATTTGCTGCTTCAGTAGCCACTGTTTGGTTTTGGTTTTATTTTTTTGTAACAGCACTTGTGAGTACCTAAACATTGTGCTAAACCATTAAACTTAATTTGTAATCTAAAAAAGCAAAACAGAAAGCTCACAAACAAAATTCAGGAAGTCTCATACAAATTCAGAAGTTTAATATGAAAAACATTGTTTTTCACACTTTCTAATGCTGATTAAGTTTTATTTATTTTATGTCTTGGTGATTAATAAGTAACTGTTACCACAAGACCATGGCTTTGGTTGTTGTTTTGGTTTGTTTGTTTGTTTAGGTTTTTTGTTTATTTTTTTTGTTGTTGTTTAAAAAGTTAAAGTGAGGTAATGTTGCCATTGTCCCATGGATTTCATCGTTTTCCACAAAACATTTCCCTGAGGAGCTTGCAGATAGACACAAGGTAAGCATCTGTCTTACAGGCACTCAGTGGTACAGGCAGCAGCGGTCCTGCCCACAGCAGCAAGCTGAACCACCCCCATCCGTCTTTGTTAAGTAACACAGGCTCTCCCTGGATGTGTCTGCAGTCCTCTGCCAGCACAGACATCAGTGATGAGTCATGGTGCAATGCTTACTCTTCCTCAGTGTGCTCCAGAGTGTTTTTAACCAGAGTCGTCACAGCTTTTTGGAGATACAAAAATAGGTGTGTGTATCCTTGACACCCAGGGAGCTCAGCACAGGTTGATACCAGGATGTGGAGCTGGGACTGCTTCCACTGTGTTTCTGAACTGCTAGTTAATGGCAATGCAAGAGGTGCCACTTTCATGTATTTCAGAATGTCTCACTGGGGAAGCTCTATTTGACACTTGAATCATTTGCATGATTCTTGTCGGTAGCTTAAACAGATCTTAAGTGAATATTTAACATTAGATAAATTGGGTCTGAAGACTGGCAGTAGGACAGTTACAATATTTAGAGTACTTTTGTTTCAGACTGGCTTTGAGGTTCTCAGGTAGGACAGGTCTAGTTGTTGTTAGGTCACAAGGATGACTGCAACATGCTTCATGCAGGACAAATTAGGAACTGGAACTGGGGTTGTTAATCATATTAATGTTTGGTTATGTTTTCAGGGTGGGTTTTCAGGGTGATTAAGTGAATCAGAGACATGACTTTAAAGAGGTATTTTGTTTGAATGCTGCTTACACTATTGTCTGTGCCAGGGTTTTGTGTACCTACACTGAATTTAACTTGTCAAAACATTTGTAATGCATTCAGTAAACAACTAACAAGTTCATATTGTTCTAAAAAATGTAACCATGTGTGTTTGCATGGTGAGGTTTGCTCCTGAAAACCAGAAGGGCAGAGTCCAGAGAGCATGCAGGGTGGAAAGGTTATAAAGGTTTGGCCTCCACTGCAAAAATGGAACAAATTTTTGCTATTCCTAGGGACATGTACTAAGTACATAAGCACAGCTCAGTCTCTATGTTTGATAGAAAAGAGCAAGCTCTGGATTTTCTCACCAGTACTCAGCAAGTATCCCTCATGTTTGGTTTTGGAAAAATACCTGGTTTGTGTTACATCCTCTGTTGGATTAGAAACAATATTTACTACAAAGATTTTCTGTAGTATTCTGAGAAACCTTTTTTTGTCTGATAGCAAATGCTATTTAAAAACACAGGGTAGAGAAGTTTGTGTCTTTTTCTGGAAAACTGAAATTCAGGTTGGCGGATATTATTTTTAAATTCTGGATGCATCACTTGCAAGTACTTGAATTGTGCCTCCTCTTGCGAAACACTTTTTTTTATTTTTTTATAGAGTTTAATCCAAAGCCCTATGCAGGCCATGTTTTAAAACTTTGCTGGCCCTGGGGCCAGGAACTATTAAATTTTTGTTGTGTTGTTCCCAACAAACCTGATTTTATTTAATAATAAGGCAACATCTCAGTTTAAAATGTGGTGTAACTTACGGTAACTCAAGTGATTAACACTAAGCGTCATTAGTTTTTTTAAGCAGTGATGCAATTAATTCTGTAGACATGGTCTCTCTAGACATTAATAGGAAATCTTTTTAATTATATGGAGGACCTTTGCATCATACTTTAGAGTACTCATCTAAAAAGAATGCCTTGTTTTGGGTGTTCAGTGCTTGAGCTTATGAACTGGAAAAATAATAAAAGCCCCACCCATATAATCAAGTTGTCTTCCTACAGGTACAAATCAATTGCTCATTTGCCAGCTTTTTTTAATATTGAATATTTCTTTGTTAATGCCTAGCTCAGTGCATCTTTACTGCCTGTATTCTAATAGATACTGAAATGCTAACTAAATACAATTTTCAGAGTTTATGTGGTAAATATTAACTTCCTTGTCTTGTTTATGTTTGGGGGGGTTTTGTGTGGTTTTTTTTGTTGTTGTTGCTTTAGGAAGAAGACTACCAGTTAAAAGAGGACCAGAAGGCATTCCAGATTTTGTGCCTGTCAGGAAGAGATCAACTCCCATGAACCCTGCATACATGATACGGAAAACTCGCACAGTAACTGCTGTTTCTCAGCGACCATACAGGGACAGGGTGATTCACTTACTGGCACTGAAGAATTACAAGAAACCAGAGTTACTTGCTCGCTTGCAGAAAGATGGTGTAAACCAAAAGGACAAGAATTCCCTCGGAATTATCCTGCAGCAGGTGAGACCATGGAGTTTGTGCCAGCAGTTTTTCCTTCCTGCTAGTCTTATAATTGTAATTTTGAGCTGTGTGACTCCAGTGTTTAAATTAGAAAATAATAAACAATGTACATAGTGCTCCTTGTTTTATACACATGCCCTAAACCGCATTTCCATGCAAGGAAAGGCAAAAAAGAATGAAAAGTTCTGGGGAGTGTTTCGATTTTGCTAGAACGGCAGGCAATAATTAACTGTTTCTAGCTTTGTTGCTCCTAATGTCTTATTTTGTTCTCTCCTTTACTTGCACTGCTTAGCTGCTTAACTGAGAGAAACTGACTGCATTCTCTCAACTGTGTGAAATAATTTTTTATTCAGTTTCTCTCGGCTTAATAATGAGGTTTTTTGTATAAATCTAAAAGCAGCAGCCTGAACTTGCTAAGATCGAATATGCACAGGTTTCCTACTTTTAGAATACACCTTCAGTTCTGTTTTTAAGAAGTGAATTATGGTTTCAGGGTATCTTTGTTACTTTTAATTATTTTTTAAGCTGGGGACAGGCAGATGTGAACATAGACATGAATTATTATTATTTGTCATGTTTTGGAGGGAAAAAAATAAGCAAAGCCATGACAAGTGGTAGTGGTGGTGTATTGATATGTTATTCTGCGTTTTGTATGGGGCAGATTGATAGGATACTGTTTTTCTTTGATGTTTTCTTCAAAAGTCTGAACAGGTATTGGGTGTAGAACTCTAAACCACCACTTTAGTTGTAAATGGTCTCAAGGTTTTACTAGTTCATTTTAACTTCCTGAGTTACTTTTTATTTGAAGATATAAACCCATTTCATTTTCAAAGGTAGCAAGGCATACACACGACCTTCTCATGGCCGTACTTTGCTGTAATCAACCCTGTGTCTCCAAAATAGAAAAGTTCATTTGGGCCTGTACACCCCTCCTTAAACATTTTAGCACTAAATCTCATTGTCAAAACGCAACTTGTTAGAGATGAGTGCAGTTACTTTTTCCCAGTCCGTAAAACTTTGATATGTCTTAAAACTGATGGGATAAATGAAGAAGCTTAGTGCTCGTTACCGCATAGAACTGTTCAGGAGAAAGCTATAGTTTCTTTTCACTCAGGCACTTGAGAAAGAGATGCAGTTCTGTTTATCAAGACAAATGATGACATACTGTGGTCATTAATGGAATGATGGAAGACATGCATTTTTCCAGGTAGTCTGTGCTCTGCCATCATAGTATAGCAGTGTAGAGGGAACAGCAGGTGTCCTCCTGAAGTTGGAGAAATCTGAATTTGTATGTGAAGATGGTGTACTTCAGTTCTTAAAAAGGAAAAAAAAGAAAATAAAAACCTTGGCCTATTGATGTATTTCATGCAGTGAATATTTAAATTTTTGGCATAGTTTGCCTTGATTCTTAATTATATTTTAAAGATAAAAAGCCAGACACATGGTGCAGAGAGAGATTTTCATAGAGTATGTTTCATACATGCTTGCAGCAGTTTGGCATTTTCTGACATCCAAATTTTTACATACCAAATTGACCACATTTTTTAAAATTGGCACTCATTATCTGAAAGCTACTTTGATTGTCACATCTGAAAAAAAATCCAAACTGGTGTGTGATTTGAGATTTGATCAAGTTTTGCAGTACCAATCTTATTTTCTGTAGCTTGCATTTAGGTATAATGAACTTTTATTTTCTTAAATGTCTGCCTGTAGGTAGCCAACCTGAACCCAAAGGATAATACTTTCTCTCTGAAGGGTTATTTATTTAAAGAAATTCAGAAAGATTGGCCTGGATACAGTGAAATAGATAAACAGTCATTGGAGTTAATACTTTCTAGGTAAGTTCAGTCTCTAAGGGAGGGAAAATAGCCATTTAAAAAAATGGGAAATGAATGTCTGTCCTCCCTGTAATGAAAGAACATAGATTTTTTTTTTTTTTTGCCTTATAACCTGAAATGTTGGGTTGTCATTGCAGAAAATTAAATCCATCTGAGAATGCCACCAGCACCAGCAATTCAGAGTCTTCTGTAACTTCTAACACATCTGCTCCATCAACTTCTCAGGTACTTTGTTTTGTTTTTTTAACATTATTTACAATGTATTAAGACATCACACTTTATAGTGGTGTAAAAACTGTGATGTGAAGCACTGATGCTGTTCTTAACACATGAAAAACTGGAACATTTATTTCTAATTGAATTACTATTTTTTTAAAGATAGTTGTACTGTCAAAGGCTGCAAAAAAGGTCACATAGCCTGAGCGCTACTATATTTAATGTTCTCTGTTTCAGAATGCTTATTACCTTAAATGTTTATTTAGAAAAATAAACAATTCCTAGGTCTGCACAATATTTTGTAAACACACCTCTATCTCTGACACCAACTACCCCAGTGCTAATGTAGGCTACTATATCCTTATGCTACTATTTTAAGAAAGTCTAGAGAAAGGACAAATTACAGTAGTAATCCACTTGGAGGGATTTTTTTTTTTTTTTTTTTTCTCCCTCTAGGCATGATTTAAGCACCTATTTTTGATTCAGGGTTTCCCAGGTGTGAAAAGCCAGATCTGAATCAGCATGCACTACATCTGCCTTCCCCCAACTTTTTCAGACTTAAATGTGTATGTCCTGTTTTCCTGCCAATGCAACAGTACAGCGCAAACCCTTTCAGAAGAAACTTGCAAAACTCTGCATAAAAGAAAGTATTACTTTAAGGAAGAGTTTGATGCCTTCTGTGATTAAAACTGTGTTTCAGTGCTTGCAGCGTACAGCCCTAAGTTGGGAAGTATGGAAAGTGTTTTACCCCTGAGATGATTACGTTTAAATAGAAAAAGGATGGCAGACCTCTTTTTAACCCTAACTTTCTTCCTGTCAGGGCATTAAATGGTGCAGGTCCCAACAACCTCTTTACACCTGCCTCTCTACAGATTCTGGATTTATTTCAACTGGCTGGCAGTCCTGGTCAAAGCTGCCCCTTGTACATCAACATCAACAGTGTGTACTTGCTAGAGAAAAACATGTTTCAGCTGGAGAACCAGCTGAATGACAGCTGTAGTAAAACTCAGGCTTTTACCTATTCTCACCAGATTTGCACTTCACACTCTCTGATAAGCACAATGCTGCTTGCTTCTTGGGGTTGATTTAGGAAATAATATGGCTGTGTGACAGCAAAAGCTGACTCTCAACCTGGTATGTCCAAATGAAAATCGGTACCTAAACAAACAAACCCAGCCTCCTCATCTTGGTGAACCCTTTGATAGAACTGCTGAAAAGAGCATCTTTCTCCCAAAACCTTGTAGCTGTAGATTTGAAAAACAGCTTGCTAAGATTAGAAACTTAAGAATGAAATAAACAGTGTAATAAGGTGCAGTAATTCCTTGTTTGACAGCTACTTATAGATAAAAAAAAAGATGTGTTTTCAACAACTGCTTGCTCAGAAATACTTCTTTTTCAGAATGGGAGCAAAACCTAATTCTGATAACGTTTTTAATATTTTTTTATATTATCACAGAAACCACTTTTGAGTTACAAATTTTTTGATCCTCTGATAAATGAGATGCAGAGGGTATCTCACCTGAACAGTCAAGTCCAGCCAGCATTCAGTGGCCATTTGCAGGCCTCCAGCGAGAAAGCCACTACTGCCCATCCACTGCTTATAACCCCTGCAGCCACCACTACTACTCCTCCTCAGCCACTGCCTCCTGCACTCCTTTCCACTTACAACCTTCCTCAGACCATCAGCTCCAGCTCCCCCAGCACCTCTGATGGTCGGGGGACAAACAACTTGCTGGTGGACAGCTTCAGCCAAAATTACAGTAGCATCTGTGAGAACCAGCAACAAAAATACACCTCTCAGACTCCTTTGGGTACCCAAGCACCAGCTGTGGTGCGGGTGAAGTCTCTCAAGTCTGCAAGAGAGAAGTATGCGATTTGGTACCAAAATCCTGAAAAAGTAAAAAAACAGAAGGACAAAAGCAAAATGCAGGACACTGGGAGTGTGAGCAAGAAGGAGAAAGACATTAGAAAAGAAGAAACTGTCAAGCTGGAAGAATCCCTCTGTTTGGATTCAGGTGAATAAACTGCTTTTCCTAACTACTATATGGGTAGCCCTGGTGAAAAGCACCAGTAAATCTAGGGACTGGAAAGACGAGTGGTCACTTTTTCACTTGCTTTGCCGTTATCCCAGCTTTGTAGTCATGAAGATTCTTACTGAAAATTAAGGTAATTTTTAAGAATTCTCACTGCATAATACAAAAACCATTAAATCAAAGAAATCTTAAATGGATTGCTGTGGTGGGCAGAAACGTGTTAAAGGGAAGAGCTCGATACTAGAAAAACACTGATAGTTCACTGAAACTTACTCTTTTTCCATCAGCAGGTTTTAAAGTCTGCATGCTGAAAATAAAAACATGTCACACATTTACTGCATACTAGTTTACTGAAACACGTAGATCAGACATGATCTACCCCTGCCATGGCAGGGGGGTTGGAACTAGATGATCTTAAGGTCATTTCCAACCCTAACTATGATTCTGTGATTCTATGACATAAATATCTTTCATCGTGTATCATATTCATTAAACTCTGCCATTTCATGGGAAGTCTAAAACCTGCATAAACTGACGTGTACTTTTAGCAGAGTTTTCTTTGAACTGTGCTCCTTTCCACCTTGGCTGCAGAATTTATTACTTCAAAAGATGTAGAAATGGTGCACACTTAAAATGGCATTGAAAAGTTAAACAGAAACACACAAAGAATACATGATTTCTTAACACATAAGCACACAGAAAATAGGGTGGAGTTCAGTTCCTTTGTTAAACGTGTGTTTAATTTCAGAGGTTTAGCTTACAAATCAGAAGGTTTAGCCCTTTCCTATCACAGGTAGGAGGCATCTGTAGAGTATGCAGGGTGCCTCTTCGAAGTGTTGTTGCACTCCTAGATAAAGGTACCTTAAGATGGCCTTTTCACATCAACCCTGGACATACTACACAGTGCCCACACGGCTTGAGGTTGCTTTGAAAATATTCATGCTTGAATTCATGGACATGTGAGCATCTTTCTCCAGAAGCTAGTAACAAAACTCTGAACAGCTAGGTAAGGAAAATTTTGTACTATATTTCAAGTTGGTGCTTACAGCGAAGCTTTGAAATGGACTGAGTCATATCAATAAATGCGCTTGAATTTTTTGAAATTAAATGCTCAGAGCAAAATTGTCCGCATAAGTTGTATTGTACATACTGTGACTATTAATATTACTGCTGGCATTTGCATCAAAATTTGTTCCCACTTTTACACTTCTTTTTATATTCCTGCTATACCATATAATTTTAATATTAAAGCAGAAGAATCAAGTGGAACATTCCATGATGCCTGTTTTTTCTCCCAATGACTTAAAGCTCAGGTACCTTAGAGATTGGCAAGAATGGTTGAGCTTTAGCAGAAACACTGTGTTTACAGAGTGTCAGTGCAAGTTAATCATGAGTACAAAGGATTATATGGTTTTTAAGCTTGCCAGAAAACCCCACATGTAAAGCAAGGAGATATTATCAAGATACTGAGTGTTCCTTCCTGTTCCTACTAACTTTTCATTACAGCAGCTATTTCTCTTGTTTATCAAAAAGACAGGGTACTCCTGAAACACTTCTTTAAAAAGAGGGATTAGAGATTAAGTATATCATGCTTTCATAAGGACATTTAAAAGAGCAGAAGAGCAGTTTACAAGGGCAAATAACTTTGGAACATGTATTGCTGTAAATGAGGAGCAAGTCTTTATTGCAGGTTGTTGAAGCCTGAATGCCAGCAACCCGTATACAATGCTACTGACTTTCCTGCTTAGAAGAGTGTTGAAATTAAATGTAATTTTGGATATCTGTAATTGGCAGGGATGAAGGGATAAAAACATGGCATGAAAAGAACTTTAGCTTTCTACTGTATTTCTTGCTGGAACCTGGATGTTGAGATAGATAGATACATACGTATATATAAAAATACATGCTGTTGTGGTTTAAGCCCAGCCAGTAACTCGGAACCAAGCAGCCGCTTGCTTACACACTCCCATTCTTCTTCCTCCCCTGGCTCCTGGAGGGGTGGGGAGGAGAATCAAAAGAATGTAACTCCCACAGGTTGAGATAAGCACAGTCCAGTAACTAAGGTGTAACACAAACCACTGCTGCTACCACCAATAATAATAATGATAAGGGAAATAACAAGGGGAGAGAATACAACCGTTCACCACGCACCGATCGATACCCAGCCTGACCTGAGCAGCAGTCTGTCCCTTCCAGGTAACTGCCCCCAGTTTATATAGTGGGCATGACATGCTGTGGTATGGAATACCCCTTTGGTCAGTTTGGGTCAGGTGTCCTGTCTCTGCTTCCTCCTGGCTTCCCCTCCTCCCTGGCAGAGCATGAGACTGAGGAACTCCTTGGTCGGAGTAAACATTACTGAGCAGCAACCGAAAACATTGGTGTTATCAGCGTTCCCAGGCTGAAAGTCAAAAACACAACACTGCACCAGCTGCTAAGAAGGAGAAAAACAGCTGCTATAGCTGAAGCCAGGACACATACATACGTAAACGTATCAGGCTGTTGTCTTGTGCGCAGCTACATCTATTGCTACATAACTTGAATTGCTGTGCAGATGCTGCATGTCTTCAAATAAGAATAGCTGACCTCAGGTTAATATTGCAATAGCACAAAGCCTGTAGAACAAAGTAGCTGTGCCATTTTCTGAACTGTGGTACTGCCTACTGTGGAGAAGGTTGTATGGGCTCTATTATTAACATATAGAGCTTATTCCAAGTAATTCACTGTGAGAATAAAGCTGTAAAGGTTTTTTTCAGGCCCATCAGGTTGGTACTGTTTGGCTATATTAAAAATCTTAGCACAAGTGTCATATTCTGCTTTTCTGTAGGAGTTCAAGAAACTCTTACTGCCTCCACATATCCTCCTTTCCCGACAACTGAGCAACCAGACTACTTAACGTGAGTAAAATCAATTAACTCTCTTGCCATTCATGGAAGCAGCTGAAAAATCACCTATAAAAGCTCTCATTTAGCTACAAAATTGAAAAATTACCAAAATGTAATTTTAGAATAATAACAACCTCCTTTAAGTCACCCTACTACTTTGCTTGAGTATCTGTGAGTTTTAAGCTCTGAGGTTGTCATCCCTTAATTACTGTGGGGGAATAGAAGTGCTAAAAAGAATTTTTAACATATTTTAGAAGACAAAACATATAATTTAATTCTTCTTCAAGAACACGATAAAAAGGAATATGAACCTGCACTGTTTTCTTTTTAGAAGTGAGGTAGTACAGAATAATAGCTGAATACTAAAATACTCAATACATAAATTTGAACATCTTTTTTGTGTTTTTACTGCTTAGTGTGCCTAAGCTGGAAAAGTTGGGAGGGAAGAAGGCAAACTTTAAAGTCCAACTTGACAAAGCCTGTATATGATCTTAAGAGAGTTAACCATCAAAGGTTTTACTAAAGCTGTAATATAAAATGGCCACTGACTAACTTGAAGCTACAGCAAAATACCAGATTTCACCACAGAATTGCCAACCACAAAGCTAAAGAAAAATAAATTAAAAAAAAACTCAATTCAGATTTTAAATTTAAGCTGCTTAATTTTTACTACAAAGCAAGGTAAAAATGCATTAAACTTGACTGTGAAATGTTATATATCTACAACGACTGGTACAATGCAGTCTATAAAGTTACAGAGGGACTTTGCAGTAAGTTTAATTTTAGCTCCTTAACAAGTTGTCGCACATCATATTAGCATTCCCGAAAGTTAAAATTTACCTCCTATGTAAAAAAAAGATTTTTATTCATGACAAGTATTAAAGAACTTGCTTTAAATGAAATAGCTCTAATAACAGAATCATTTGATTGCCTAAACGCGTTTTTAGAATGTTAAAACTTCTCTGTCAGGAGGATTCTTCTTTGTTGTTGTAAAACAGAGAAATAGCTTTTGCAAATGCCCATGCAAATGTCTGAACTTTTCCCCTACTGTTTTATGGGTGACCATTTTTAAAAACATGAAAGTTGAAGAAAGCTGCAATGGAATAACTTGGTCATTCAGTGGAACCTGAATTTCTATGAAATGCTTTTTGGTTTTTTTTTTTTGTTTTTTTTGGAGGTGGGGAGGAGAGGGAGTTGGCACAGTGAGGGCCAATATAAAGCTCTTTTCTCCTTTGGAAGGCTTAGTTTGAATTTTTGACAGACCTTCAATGCTCAGAGCTGAAATGAGCACCATGATAGGTAAAGCCAGGATAAGTCTGACACTTCCCAGTTGTGCAATTGCACAGAATGGGCCTAAGCAGGAGCATTGAATTCCCTTGTCATATTTACAGTACAGAGAAGGGCGGACAATTTTGTTGGTCTCCTAAAACACTGAATTGCCAGGTTCACCAGCTTCTCTCAGAGGCGTAACATCACATCAGCAAGGGAGGTGAGGCCTCTCTGTAGAACTTGAACTTTGGTGCATTTTTTGTCTGCTTTAAGGTAGACAGCATGGTCGGAGACAGCATGGTAGCATCCTGTTTCATACTTAATACAGTTAGTGATGCTCCTTGGAAAGATTGAAAGAAAGTCTGGCACTGCAGAGAAGCAGTTTAGTACTTCATATTTTAGTCTGAGAACTCAAATTTAATTCTCAGCCTCTGCTGGGTGAAAGTGAACAGATTCAGCTTTTTGCTGTCTGTTTCTCAATCAGTGGAGGACAGTGATACTGAGGAGTAAGGGATATGGTTATTTGATATAATCTGATATTAAAGATGGATTGTAGAATCATAGAATAGTTTGAGTTGAAAGGGAACTTAAAGACCATCCACTTTTAACTCCTCAGCCACGAGCAGGGACGCGCGCTCCACCAGAATGGAAGCCAATAGCCATTTCTAAAAGTAAAAAAAAAAAAAAAACCAACCAAAAACAACAAACCAAAACCACCACCACCCCCCCCCCCGCAAAAAAAAACACAACCCTACAAAAACCCAACCAACCAAAACAAAACAAAAAGAAAAAAGGGTTCATGCAAGATTTCATCAAGTTTTCATTCAGATTTCACTAAGTGCCTTAGTTAAATGGAAGCAGTGGAACTGGTGTTCAATAAAATAATCAGATTTTATCATTAGCTATGCTTTACTGTTACTTATAAGCACAAATGTAGCCAAAAATCTAAGTGCATCCAACTCCTTAAATCAAATCCCTTCCAAAAATGAAAAATGTAATTAAATGAATTTTCAAAAGTAAATGTAACTTAATTAACCTTCATAGAAAGAGATTATAATCTAGCAGTTTCTTTTCTTTAACTGAAGCTGGTGCATTTATTAATCATTCTATATTTGAATGACTGCTAATGTTTTGTAAGTGTGCTACACTTTGTGTAGCTTCTGAATAAAGTAAAATATTAGCAAATGTCACAAAAATATGATAGATTTCTACAATTACCTAAATAAATTATCTTGGAGCATGTGTGCTTACACATAGAAGCAGTCAGTTAACTGACTTAAATCTTGGGTATCTAGGCTTGATATTCACTACGTACTTGTGGGAAAATTTCATGTGTGCTTGTTTTTCCATTAGGAAATACACAACTATCATCTCAAAAGAGCAATGCGAGAGTTACAAGGAAGACTTCTATGCAGAGTATGGTGAATACAGGATTTTGCATGCTTGGATAGAGAGTATCACTAAGAGATTCATGAGGTTTGATGAACAACAGAAACATCTTCCTCCAGGGTCCAAAAAATATCAGGTAAAGGAGGATGAAAGTGTTTCATCTCCCTCTTATCCCTTCCAAAAGTCCACATTTTCAGCACAGGCAGATCCCTCATGTCTATTAAATTTTACAGATGTAGTTTTAAAAGACTTGCCAGGTTCAGTGTCTGAGGCTGGGTAACTGGTCACAGAGCTGGAACTACCAGACTGGCTCAGACTTTGCTGACCACCTCAGCATCCAGGCAAGGCGAGGGAGTGCTGTTGGACAGATGGGGAAGAAGACTGGAATAATCCATAATCCCAGAGCTTTCCTTGGCCCTCTCTTCCCCATGATTTTAGAGATTTATCTAAATCTGTATCCACAACTTACCCATCTTACAGGTAGCTGATCCTAGCTATGATTTTAGCAGAAAAGGAATTTAAAAATCTGATATTCTGGATCTCCAGCCTGGACTGCTCTGGTTTGGACATACAAATGCCACATGTTTAATATGAGAGTTCTTCAGTTCTGTGTGCACTGAGGATTTTGATTGGCTTTTGTTTGTTGGCCAGATTGCACATGCATTTTTGAGTATTTTAAAAACCCTTGTTCTGTGCAAACAGACAAAGGGAAAACTCGAAGAATTTGCATATGTGCTCTGACCCTGCGTGGATTAGCTCTAGGTTTTGACACTTGAGAAAACTCTGCGAAAAGCTGTTCAGCCCTCAAACTCCACCTGTTTGAGCTGTCTGTGAACACAGACAACTGTGTGAGCAACTCCTGAAAGGGCATCTTGAAACACATGCTCCTTTTGTTGCCTATTTGCAGGTTTAATTTCAGATCTAGTGTGATACAGGGGGCTGTGGGTTTATTTTTTGCAATGCAGAAGAGTGGTGGTGAAACTGAGTATATTTTTAGTATTTTATGTAAATTTACATTTTCTGCTAGTAGTGAAATGTTGTTAATTTTCTTTTTATTTGAAGGTACTTCATGAAGAAGTTATAGAAGAGTACCAGGCATTAGCACAGGTATGTGTAACAGCAGACTTGTGGGATGTGGTAGTCACTGAGACTGGCACAAGTCTATTTTTAAGCAAAGGACATGAAATAATGAACTCTTCTGCAGAAGTGTTTTCGTGTCCTAATTTTCATTTTATCTTTACAGTCTCATCCCAGCTACCATGAACAGAAGAGGAGATGCGAGTATCTCCACAGCAAGCTGTCTCACATTAAGAGACTGATTGTGGAATTTGATGAACTCAAGCCTAATGATGACAACTAGTCTTCTGCTTTGATCAGGACATGCGAATGAACCAAAGCTTATTTATGTAAAATCTAAGATAGTTGTTCTAAGATTCAAAAAAATAGAATCAAACTTCTGCATTAAGCAAGTCTCACTAGTAGCAGACTTAAGTTAACTACTCTAGGCTTTATTTGTTGTACCTATATGCGTATAATGAAGCTGCTTTTTCTGGTCCCTTCTTTTCTTCAAGATTTATGTTTGTTTATTTTAAATAATTTTATCAGTAGATGCTGGGGAACCAGTACCTCTACTATGAAGTTCTGCACATTATAAGAAAATATTGTAGCAAATTGAATTGTTTGGGGGCAAATGTAAGGCTGGGTTCTGACCTTGTTGTTAATGGAAACTCTTTGCCTTAAAGGGTGGAAGGTTTAGAAATTTGCACAAAATACTTTTAAAAAAGAAATCACATTGTTTTGGAGGGTTAAAGAAGCATGTGTATGTGCTGTATATGGCCCGTTTTGTTACAACAGAAACTCACCCCTGCAACTTAAACCCGCCTTTGCGGTGATTGCCTTAACGTATTTGATTGGGTATATTTAGTGTAGCTAAATTATTAGCTACATTGCTTTCCACTTTGTGGAAGCACTACATGGCCTATGTGTACAGTACTTGTGTCTGGAAGTGTATCCTTCTACTCTTGTGTGTGTGCAAGAACGTGTGAATGTGAGCATGTGTGATGAGAAAAAAAAAAAAGGCTGCTACTCTAAGTAGGCCAGATGCTCAGGTTAAAACAACTGACAAGTGTTGCTATAGGTTTTTCCTGTAAGATTCCTACTTCTGTCATAGAAGATGAGAGCATTCCATTTCGATAGTTTATCAGCTTTAATACTATTGAGGAAGTTGATAATTTACAAAAATGAAAGAGATATATAGTTTTTGGGCAACATTATAAAATTAAACATGTAAGTTACCTATTTATATACTATTATTTGGGGATAATAATTATAACTGAATAATCATTATTATTCAAAAAAATATTTTTGAAGAGAGATATGCAAAGAAGCTATTGCTACATGAAATATATTTTAAAGATTTTTGTCCTGGATACCAGGAATATAACAAAGAATGGATGTATTTAACTATAAAATACTGTGATCACCAAACAGCACAAACTTACATTTCATGCAGTTTTTTGGTTTATTTTGATGTAAAACCATTGCTTGATGTGAAACCATTGCTTGATGTAAAACCATCGCGTACCTTATCATATTACTTCATGGGTTATTTGGTCACAATTGAGCAAAATCTTTTGTGTTTTACTGTGTTTGTCTTTTCAAAATGCTGCCAATGGAAAAGCAAAGCATTACATGGGGAAATCTGATTTTGGACTTTTGTCAAATTGCAAGTATTGCTAACAGACTTTATCTCCAGCATTAAAAAAAAAGAAAAAAGCTGTTATGTATCGCTGTAAACAGGAAAATGTTTTATTGCCAGAAAACATGTATTCAGGTAAATGAAAGCAATGTAATTTTTGCCTTAAATTGTGAGTACAAAGATGTTGTGAGTAGCAAGCAAAGTGGCTTGCCAGTGGTTTGTGTTACTTTCTTGAGACCATGTTGACTTTAAGGACCCTTGTACTAGTATAGTTGTTTTCAACTTCACGTTTCAAATAGCAAAATGAAGAGAAGACTTCTTGGTTCCTGTCTAGAGCTGCATCCACCTGGGTTTAACGGCTGGATGTTGTCCTGAGCATGTACACACAGTTGTGTCCAGGAACTGTTAAATTCATGGCAGTTATGCTGCAGCTCCACTGGGTGGTTTGCTTTCAACCTAGAAATGAAGTGGCTGTTGAGGTTAAAACGTGCTGTTCATGACACTGGGACACATTTTGGGAGTTTGGTACTCCCGCGTGCCTGGATCTGATATTGGCTGTTACAGGACATGATGATACTGCTACAGCTGTTTCAATGTGTTGTAATCACTGCTACTACCATCACTCTATAACTGGGACTCAGGGCGATTAATTGATTTTACTTCCCCCCTACCTTTTGCATAGACCAGTATTCACATGAACATTCTGATTTATAGGCTGCGTATGTGTTGCAGTTGGAGGTTAGTGCTGCTTCAGAGGTCTGGTACTGCATGTCATCACCAGACCTGGCAAGCTACTGCAAAGGTCTTAATTGAAGGTTTTGCTCGTTTGCACTGGGCATTTCTGAAGCATTGCAAGTACATCCTGCAGCATGTGTATTGCGAAATAGTGCTGTAAATCTGCCTAGCATTGAGTTGAGTGAATGCTGGGAGCCTACAAAAGCGGGGCCTCTGACTGAACAATTGCCTTTCCTGCAAAACTGGCCTGCTTACTCAGAAACAAACATTGCCTATTCTGGCATCTTGGTTGGGGTTACACTACCACAAACCTGAAGCAAATGATTAATGTAGAGGAGAGTCAATTGTCCACATCTTCTGTGTGAAAACTATGAATTTCACTACATTTTATATAAAAATTGCATGGTTGAAAGGGAGTCAATAGCCCTTTCCTTTAGGCTGAAAAAAAAACCACAGTTTAAGGAGGTTGGTTTCCAGTCTTGCTGGGACTTGAGGGAGAAGAACTGCACCAGAAGTCGTATTTTCTTTTTATTGTAGTTATGCTCTACACTGTCATTTGAAACAGCTCACTTGACTGCTTTTAACTCTGCACTCTACCTTGCCATTTATCAGACAAAAAAAAAAAAAAAAGTGATATTCAGGTAATTTGGAAGGGTAAAACATACAGGCAAGTGGTGGAGGCAGCCTGCTTCAATAGGTTTCAAACAGAAATTGGGTTAGTGTGTTGATATTGTAACTTCGCTTGTTTATTGTGTTTTTAAAAACAGTAATGCTACAAGCAGTTGTTCTAGATAGTAATTGTTGATTCATGCAAAGACCTATGGCTACTTTATAGTTCTCTTTATAATTTTACTGTCCTTTGTTTCTGTACCTGATGGGGGATGGATGTGGCTAGCAATTCCATGACCACCTTTTTGGCAGGGATATGAAATTGGTGAAGGGAGGACAATATTTGGGAACATGAAGGCTTAAAACAAGGCTGTGAGTCTCCATTTCTGACTTTGAGAATATTTTACAGCTTTTCAAATTGTTTCCATATAAACTGTATTAAGACTGTACGTGAAATATCTTGGGGTGTTTTGTTAATGAATACTTGAGCCATTGTTGCCTATTTGTTCCATATCAATTGAAGTTCAGTAAAATGTTAACTTTGCAATCCTGAGACTTCACTATTTCATTATCTGGGAGGGGCTAGCGGGGCACCTCCAACAATGCAGCAGTGCCACAAGCACTACTATGGGGACTGCTGCTTTACCCTGGGAGCGCCTGTGGTCTATCAACTTGCCCCTAAGATCCTGCTGCTAATTTACAAAGCACAAGCTAGTGCTCTGGAGTGCAGGTAAAGAAATGAGAAAGTCTGGAGACTGGATGGAGCAGGCTTGAGGAGAAGGACTTGGTGTTGGGTGACGAGACACTCTGCGTGACCCAGCTTCAGTGCTCACTTGAGCCCAGATCTCCCCTGTGTGCTGGGCTGCGTCCCCAGAGAATGAGCAGCAGGTCAAGGGAGAGTTTTCTCGATAAAATGTTCTTTTCAGATTTCATGCTAGAGTCATAGGGATTTTTTAGTTATTTTTCCTGGTGATGCTTTGCAGAGCTTGAGAAGGTATTTCCTTTCCTATTTGCTTTTCGTCTGGAGACCCTAAGTTCTTTAAAAGACGAGATATACTTACCTACATGTTGCATATAGTGAG